TAATCATTAGACATTTTGCATTATATGATGACTTACTTAGAATTTTCTGTCTACAGTTTGAGGCCTTTCTTCAGAAACATGTTTTGAGAAGTACATTTAGTATGAAAAGTCTATTCATGTGCTGGCTGCTATTGTATTTAATCATGACTTCAAAAATAGCAATGACAGGTTGCCATTTAAGGTGAGGAAGTTTTATCTGAAGTCCTCATGATTATACTTTCATGTTTCAGACATTTAATGAGGTAAAGGTGATACCCTCATTCTTTAAATGGGAAGAAATGTAGCTTGCCCGTGATTATAACTGACGGTATATAGTGCAGCAAGGGTCACATCCAGCTTCAACTTTAATTTTTCTTTTTGTTTTGTTTTGTGAATCCTCACCCCAGGATATTTTCTCATTGATTTTTAGGGAGATTGGTAGAGAGAGGGAAAGACAGAGAGAAACATCAATGTGAGAGAAACACATCCATTGGTTGCCTCCTGCACACGCCCTGACCAGGGCCTGGGCCGGGGAGGAGCCTGTAACAGGTACGTGCCCTTGACTGGAATCAAACCCCTGGGGTCTGCAGGCTGATGCTCTATCCATTGAGCCAAATTGGCTAGGGCTAATTTTCCTTTCTAAACATCACAGATTTATTCTGCAGCTGAAATCAAAGTGTTAACAGGTCTGAGTCCATCTGGGGAGAATTTGTGTCCTTGCCTTTTCCAGCTTCTCAAGGTCGCCCACACTCCTTGACCTGTGGCCCCTTCCTCCATCTCTCTCTGGTCCAGACTCTCCTGCCTCCTCCTTCTAAGGACTTGTGGTAACATTGAAGTCACCCGAATAATCCAAGACAATCTTCCCATCTCAAGAGCTTCCGCTTAATCTATCTGTAAGTCCCTTTTGCTATCTAAGGTGACATATTCACAGGTTCAGGGATTAGGACATGGAAACTGATGGGGGTCATTATTCAGCTAACCACAGTATGATGTTCAGGTTGCTCTTTTGTGCTGGGAATCGAGGATTCCAAGGTCAGGGTGGGTGATAAGGAAAGCTGCTGTCTACAGGGATTGGAAGGGGCCGAGGAGCCACAGATGTGGTGTGATGAGAACATGGAGGCCCCAGACCTGGAAATGAGAAACCCTGACTTGGTATCTCAACAGCTGTGTGACCTGGGACAGGTCAACACCTTTCTGAGCTTCACTCTCTGAAGGTGATGGGGTGGGCATGAGAGGCCCTCCTTGCAGGATTTGGAAGAGCCAACTGGATCACATCATAAATTGTGTGCCCCAGTGCCCAACACAAAATAGATGTGCAGCCTGTGCAGGCAACCAAGCATGGGGGCCCCCTAAACCGAGCCCCCAGGAGATGATACCACTTGGGTGAAATGACTCACCCTGGGACCATCTCAAAAGGTGAGAAAGGAAAGGGTGTCTCAGATGCATAACTCTGGTGACAGCCAAGAGACCGGAGACCTCACTGTGCCATAGAGTAGGTACATGATGGATGTGTGGAATGAATGCAGCTTCAACTTATTTTAATAACCAGTGAATTACACGGATGAGGAAAAACCACACTCTGCTATCTAAGGTCTTACATTCAGAAAATGGAGTAATAGAAACTAGTAAAAATATTCACTTTGCCAATCTGCCTGGCCAGGCAAATGCTTCTTGTCCTGCAAATGGTGGGTAAGAAAATAAGAATATAGCCACGTGAAAAAATAGGTAGCAATAAATATCTCCTGGAATTTCAGAAAGGGCATATCGATAATGTCATATTTAAACTTTCTAATGAGATAATTTTAAGTGTAATTGCTATTCTAACTTTGTAAGGTCAACTTCACAGTAAAGCTGTCACTATATGAAAATTAAAAAGCAAACACAAAATGACCAGGCCGTGTCTGTACCTTTTTTTGGCTGAAGCAGCTCCCTTGCCTGTGGCTGTGAACTTTTGAAAGAATTTCTCTCTCTCTCCCTCAGTCAGGACAGTCAAGTCTGCAGCATGTTTTGGCTCTAATTATTAGGTGACATACCTCCCTTTCCTGCATTTTATGTCATGCTTTTAATACATTGCTTTTATGTATCCAAAGAAGTCATTGCTTCAACTTTCAGAATTCTTGGTTCTCGCTCTGCTGGCATGAAAAGAAGTTTCAGTAACCCATCAGTCATTCCTTTGGATGTCTTTGACATGTTAAGTTTGGTGTTTAAAAAAAAAAAAGCAGAGGCATATACACTAGCAGAAAATCCAACATTAAGGCTTCTTTCGAGTGCATTACTTCATTTCTGTTCTAAACCTATAGCTCTGTTAACGTAAAAAAAACATTCAAAACTGTGAAGATATAGGAGCAGAGACTGCAGGTTACTCTTCAGACACCCTAGATTTTAATTGCTTCCGTTTCTGCTCCCTACAGCCCATTGTTAGTCCATGTCCATCAACAGAACGGGCACAGAGAGCTGCTTCCTCTCAGGCTCTCAGTTATGATGTCCTCCCATGTCCTCCCCTCCCCCCTGTGCCTTTTCCCCACGTGACCTTCGCAGCGGCTGGGACTGGAGGAGAGGCACATTTGGGTTGGGGCCCGCGGGAGGACAGCGATGGTGATTGCACTTTTCTGTCCTTGAAGGTGTTTGGTGTTTTGGAGGAAGCAAAAGAGCAATTCAATTTAGAAGATTATTCTGTCAGTCAGATAACGCTGGAACAAGTCTTCCTGACCTTTGCCAACCTAGAGAACAATGGACTTGATGGCAACGAGGAGGTGCCCTGAGATTCAGTTCCAACCCGAGGATATGTAAGACCAGCGTTCATCAAGGTGGGAACAACCTATTTCTGAGAATTCTGAGTGTTTGAACAGAAACATCCAGAAATGATGGCGCTGTTAGATGGGACAGCTGGAAGACCATGAGATTTATTTTTAAGTTGAGTTATGGGTAAGAGAAGCATTATGCCTGGAACAAAGCCCATTTTCCATGCATACACACATACATACACACACACACATACTCACCCATTTTATACTCCAAAATAATCTAATTAAAATAAATAGCAAAGTTTAAGGGGTAAATTGGGTTATTTCCAAAACTCAAACCAAGATTTTATATTTGTAAGATGATGTTTGCACGGAGACCACGCAGAGTCCAAGAACATAAAGCAAAAACAGTCTTTGAAAATAGGATGTTTTCCTTCCTGCCCTTGCCTACCTCTGATTTAGAAGAAAAGATGGAGAAATGAGGTGGAGAGAGAGGTAGAGAGCTCTTCTGATTCTTGTTTGGACAGCTGGAGTCCCCATGAACAATGGCAGTCGAATCATTTCTCCAAAATATGGGCAGGTGAGCAGACAAGTGGGATGAGCCCTGTTGAATTGCAAGATGGAAAGAGTCCATGAAGCTGCTCTATTTTAGGATGGTTTGTTCAAGGTTTTCATTGTCTCAGTCTTACAGTACAAGATGATATCCAACAGGTATTCTCTGTTCTATTGTTTTTAGCTTAATATAACCTCCTGTGAGCCCCATTCCCATACTACCATTGGTCTCCCAAAAGCGATTTCTGTAATTGTAAGATTTGTTTCCCGGGCTAGCTGCGTTTCAAAGGGGGAGAGAAGCTACTTAGTAGCTCTTGCATCTAGTCTCCCAGTTGGCTTCCTCACTGACCCTTTAAGACATTCCTTTCCTCTGTAGCCCCTTCCACTGTCCCTTCCTGCCCCCCAACTCACCTCTTCATCTTCCAGCAAGAAACAAAAAATATTATGCATCAGGTCCTCTGCTGAGCACTTTCACGGGGTTAGCTATAAGGAGGCACCCAAAGAGCATGCCCCAAGCGGAAGGCTAAGGGAAATTACCCAAGGAAGAAACAAATCTGAAGAGAAGGTGGGGATGTTGACTGGCCCCGGACCAGGCCCGTTTCACACCTGCCAGCAGCAGGAAATGCCCTCAGGGTCAGCCTGCGGACCACTGGGAGCTGTGGCCTGGGCTGGCAACAGGATACACCGGTCTGGGGTGGCTGGCAGGCTGGTGGCAGTAGGGGCACCTGCGTGAACCACTGGGAAGCCACACTTAATGGGGTGGGGACGGGGCGTGGGGTGGGGGCAGGTGAGTGAGGCGAGGGTCCCCAGGCTGCACAAGAGGATCCCAGGGCAAACGCCTGAAGCAGCAGCGGAGGCCCTCGTCCGG